CTTCCTGCGCCCGCGGGCCGCCCCGCAGCCTCCCGCAGCCCCCCCAGGCCGGTCGCCGGTCGGCGCAGAGAAAGTGGCCAGCGAGAGGCCTGCTTGACGGAGCCCAGGGCTCGGGCGCGAGCTTTCGCCCCTTTTCACCCCCGCGCTTTCCCGGGGACCGTCTCGCGGGTCTCGCCCCCGTGCCGGGTGGAGAGGGGGACGCTGCACCGCCGCCCAGCCCCGGACCGTGCCCGCCGGTTTTCTTAGTGCGACTCCAAAGCTTATGCATGAGCGTGATCGGTTTTCATCCTAAGCCACTAAATCAGCTTCATAGCTTGGCGAGGAACGCGGGCAAACCTCAGCTTAGACGAGCCCGGCCATGGGGCGAGGTGTGGGGCTTGTCGCTTTACAGCCCAGAGCGGGGGCTGGGAGAGCGGGCTGCGCCCCGTCCACGCTTCCAGAAGACGTTTGTTTAACCCGGGCGGAGGGAGGCCGGCGTCTTCGGCTTTGGGGACAGTCCTTGCTCCATCTTGTGAATTATCCTCTCCGGACATGACCACTGGGGCCCACACTTAGGGCGCAGCTAGACCCCGAGAGATGGACCCGCAGAGGAGGACCCTGTGAGCGGATTTAATAAGCTCCGGGGCCCCTTCTGGCTCCCTTGCACCCCCCTTTCCGGGTCGCGTCGCATCCCCGTCTTACTTATGCATTTAATTCCCAGCGGCTGCTTCTGGCAGGAGGTCTGTGCGCGCACGCGGTGGGGACCTTACAGAAGCCAAAGTCGTTCTCCCGACATCTTGCCAAGGCTTGTGAGTGAGAATTGATCGTCGAGCGGGGATTACAGGGCTCTCCCGCGGCCTCGGTGGCAGCGGGGTCGCGCGTGGAGTCCCGACCCACGCCGCGAGGGTCCCTCCCGCCCCAGCTCCGCCCTTTGCTGCGGGAGCGGCTCTCCCGAGCTCTCCCCTGCGGCGCCCGGGGCCACCCGTCCACTCGCCAGCCGGGGCTCGGCGGGGCGCCCCCTTCCGAGGCCTTCGACCCGCGCTCGCCCCGCACTGCGCCCCGAGTGCGCAGACGTCCGGCCTTTGCTCGGGTGGACTGGGAGGGGCGCTGCTTGTCCCAGAGGAATCTTTCCTTTGGCCCGAGGCTTCAAAACGGCACTGCATCGATCCAGTCTCTTTAAAACTTAATAATTCTCTCATGGTGGGTTTTTTTTGCATTAACTTTTTTTTTTAGGGAAAAGCATTACATTAAGATATTTATTTTAATTTATAGATTCTTGGTGCTCCCCCCCGCCCCCCAAGACGCGTGCTCACCCTAACCCCGGGCCTGGAAGGGGCCACAGCTGCGGACTGACCGGGGCGCCGGGTGGCAGGGCCTGGGCAGCGGGGCACTTGGGGTGGGAGGTCGGCGGTCAGAGGCTGAGGTGGCTTCGAGGCTCTGTGTAATGACTCGGTGTCGCTAACACACCAGGAGTGCGCCCTGTCTGAGAAGTCCCCCGGCAGCCCTGGGCTGCTCTCCCGGAGCTCAGAAATCCGGCCCCTGCCGGGCACCGGGGCTGGGAGCTCCCCGGCGCCAGGCAGCACCGACTCCTTTACAAAGGCTTTGACCGGACATTTCTTGAAAGAGCCTCAGTCGGAGGCAGGTCTGGGCCAATTTCACACGTGTCGTCGCCGCAGCTGGGGAGACGTCCCTGGGCTGCACCGGCCACGCTCTGCCCGCCTTTGTCTCCCTGCGCGATGGGAGCCTCCCCGCGCGCCCGACCCGCGCCCAGCGCTCACGTGGCGGGTAAAGAACAGTCAAATCCAGGGGGCGGAAAATGCCGCGAACAAAGAGTTGTTGTCTGCACCTGACAGTAATCCGTGACGGCGCAGCCCGTCAATCCCGCAGGCCGTTCACACTGAAGGGGGCGTGGGGGTGCGCGCGCGAGTGTCCCCGTGTGCCTGCCCGCGCCTGCCCCGGGGACGGGACCAGCGGCTTCGGACTTAGGCCAAGAGCCACTTTAACTGAGAACGCGAAGGCCTGATTTTTGAAAGAGACTAGTAAAAAAAATCCTCTACCCCCAACCCAGGCATTAGCCTTCAATTGTGTGCATTTCAGCAAATGAGATTTAAATTATCCTATTGTATTTATCCGGATACTATGTATAAGCGCCCTAGATAATTTTTTT